TCCTCCCAGCCCTGCACATGCACAATTACCCTGGCAAGCAACACCCCATGCATGCATGTGCGACCCCACACACACGTCTCTGGCATGCGCCCTGCGTATGCATGGCAGAGACCCGAAAACTAGCTGGCCAGCAGGAGGCGCACGCATGCGCACTGGAGCTTAGCTGGGGAGACGGCTTGCGTGCCTGCTGAGAGAGCTCTGCGTGCCACCGGTGGCATATGTGCCATAGTTTTGCCATCACAGCCCTATGAAGAGGTATAAAATTTTAAGTGATGTTGCTATTTCAATTACAAAGCAGTATAATCTTTAGCAACAATTATCGAAATTCAAAGCAAGAAATCTTGTATAAATGAGCTTTTATAAAAAGGACTTTTCATTTCAGAAAATCATAATGAAGGTCTGGCTTTGAAAATTAAGCTATTGCTACCCTAACAAAACGGGGTTGCGGTGGCTCAGTGGGTAAGAAACTGAGCTTGTCGATCAGAAAGATTGACAGTTCGGCAGTTCGAATCCCTAGCACCGTATAACGGAGCTTTCATTACTTGTCCCAGCTTCTGCCAACCTAGCAGTTCGAAAGCACATTAAAAATGCAAGTAGAAAAATAGGGACCACTTTGGTGGGAAGGTAATAACACTCTGTGTGCCTTCAGCGTTTAGTCATGCTGGCCACATGACTACAAAGACTACAGAGTCTCTGTAGACGTCTTTGGACAGTGCTGGCTCTTTAGCTTTGAAACGGAGATGAACACCACCCCCTAGAGTCAGGAACAACTAGCAAATACATGCGAGGGGAATCTAACTTTACCTTACCCTAACAAAATACATTTTAAGCCAGCTGGGGAAAGTTTTCCATATTAATAGTAATCTCAAATCTGCCCTCTGCCATTTGTGGCTTTGAATTTACAAAAACCTTAGCAGATTCACCTTAAGCTTTGTGGCCTATAAGTTTAGAGATGGTTGCCTCTCATAGGTTTTCATAAACCACTTGTTTAAACTCATCATTTACACTAATAGATGCCTACAGGGATCCAAATATATTCAAGCAGTCATCATCTCTATCATCAAGTCACAGAGAAATAGATCTCTGTTACTCAGAATCTTTGCTTTCTTTATTGCACAAAAAATTGTGTGGAAATCCCTTTTCTGGCCTCACTACTTTTGAAAACAATGATTTCCAGGGGGTAGTGATGAAAGTGGCAGCATAGTGACACAAGCTAGCCCCTTTTTTACATGTATTGTGAGACTACAAAGAGGGCAAAATGTGTTGTGTGATGCTGTAATGCTGCTTTCATCACTGACAAAAGGAGCTGGCTCCTGCAGATAGCTATGATTCGAATCATGCTCTCTCTGAAACCTAACCCATTGTCTACATAGATCTACACTGACAGTTAACTTAACTGTACACTCTAGTGTACACTCTAAAACAAATAAGTCATTTGAATAGACAGTTTTTCCAACTATAACAAAGCATGATGTTTTGGATTTCACATCATGAACTTAACTTTACAGCCATGTTTATGACAGGTATGTATATTAGTTTTTAATCTAACATTCACTCCAATTTAAGACAAGTCTATTCAATAATAAAAATGACAAGGAAGACATAGTTCAGCTGCAGTCATATATTTCTTGGGAAAGAAAAGCACGTCCCTTGAATTTTCATTATTAAAAACAATTGACTGCTTAGTGTAGTTAATTGGCAACTGTATAATCTCAAGGCATACATTTATTAAACATTTGAAAAATAGGTAATTTGAGGATCCATAAATGAACACAACTTAGTCCCTGAAGAGAAGAGAATATCACAGTTAGAAGAGACCTTGGAGGTCAAGAGTCTAACCACTTCCTCAAGCAAGAAACTCTTTACCCTTTCAGATAAATAGCTGTCCAGTCTCTTCTTAAAAGCCTCCAGTGATGGAGCATTCCCAATTTCTGGTTGATTATTCTCACTGTCAGGAAATTTCTCGTTAGTTCTAGGTTGGAACCCATTTTGATTAGCTTCCATCTATTGTTTCTTGTCTTTGCTTTGGGAAATAAGTTGATCCCCTTTCTTTGTGGCAGCCCTTCAAATATTGGAACACTGCTATTGTGTCACCCCGATCCTTCTTTTCATTAGACTAGCCATACCCAATTTCTGCAACCGTTTATCACAAGTTTTAGTCTCCAGGCCCTTATCATTTTTATTGCTCTTCTTTGCATTTTATCCAAAGTCTCAACAACTTTTTTTATAATGTGATAACCAAACCTGGAGACAGTATACCGGGTGAGATCTTACTAAAGCTTTGTAAAGTGGTGCTAGTACTTAACATGATCTTGATTCTATCTCTGTTAAGTCATCCTAGGAGTGCATTGGCTTTTTTGGCTGCTGCCACACACTACTGACTCATATTTAAATGATTACCCACCAGGACTCCAAGAATTCTTCCACTGCTATTGTGCAAATTTGTACCTGTACTTTTTGTTTGTCTTGCCTAAGACTGTACTTTTCTCTACACTGAATTTTATTTTATTGGATAGGGTCTAAAGTTCAAGTCTGTCGAGATCCATCTGCCAGCTTAGTGCCATCTGCAAATTTGATGAGTTGCCCTTCTATTCCTTCATCTAATTAGTTTATGAAGATATGGAAAGGACTGGACCTAAAATGGAACCTTGGGATACCCCACTGCTTACTTTCCTTCATGTAAATGTAGTTCCATTAAGGACTACACATTGAGTGTGATTTGTCAGACAATTACAAATCCTTCTTGAGGTGATCTCCCACATTTTTGTAGCTTGCCAAGAAGTAGGTTGTGGCCTAATTTATCAAATTCCTTACTGAAAATCCAAGTATACTATGTCCATTGCATTTCACTAGTCCACTAATTTAGTCATTTTGTCAAAGAAATAAGATTTGTTTGGCATGATCTGTTTTTGACAATGTCATGTTGTCAAAATGGATTATTCATGCAGAAGATTCTCGCAGTGTCATTGGTGTTCTGCATTTTGCATATGCCATATAGGCAATTCATATCTTGTAGATTTGTAGCTACCTCCCATGTTCTATACAAAGCTATTTGTAAAGTGAAGAGACACCTTTAGGATTTCCATCTCTGCATTTTTGTGTTTCCTGTGTTTCCTGTAATTAAGAAATGCCTGCATTCCTAAGGACTCTGAGAAATATACATGCAAACAAATGCCGAATTTCAATACAGAACTTCATATACTGAATCATGGAATTAAAAGATTTGCACAATTTCATTCCATATGCATTTTTCTTGTTCAGAATTTGTGCTACTATTGAATAATAAATTTATGTATATTATTTATTTATGAAAATTAATGAATATCTACTTTCTAGTTGCAACTTACAGCATTTGGAGGAGTTCCCAATCCATCGTAGTACATTACACCCAACTGATACATGGACTGAAAATCCGTGTTTTGTTCAAAATACAATAATGCATCTTCATACCGTTTCTGTAGTAGGCACATAGAAAATCAAATGTTTAGGATTAAATCAGCTAGTAAATCTTACAGACTGCTGAATCTTTCAGAATATCATTCCTATTTAGATATTATATTCTTAATTTAAAATAATTGAAAGAGTGACTATGCATCTTAAAATCTGAAATTAAATGCATTAAATGCAGGTACTTCATCAAATTCAAACAACAGTAGGACCTGAAAAGATAGTAAGTAGAAGAAAATGCTTACAAGAGATATTTATAACTGATTCCTTAGATCCTCAGAACACAAAGAAAAGCCTAACAGCAACTAGGTTTCTGAATGGAAACTTTGCAAAAGAGTAAATTGCTTGGGTCCAAATTCTTGGATCTGCATTTGCAATAAGATCAGTGCATATTTGTCCACTGAAAAAGACATTCTGGAAGCTATGTTGTAGAAAACATGCTTCTTCGTTCTGAGTTCTAGGTAATATTAGTAGGAGATTGTTATTACACCCACGCATCAAATCACTTTGGCCACTCTGTGAATAGCACAGACTAATTAGGCCATTGTTTTCATTCTATATGCTGCTTATGCAATGAATGACAGCATCCTTGTCACATTTGTTGAATAGATCATTGGCTTTTGTGTTAAAAAGGGGACACTCTGCAATGTGACCCTGGATTCCTATTGTCAATCAAACTGGAATCCTTGCAGTACCCAACAACCCAAGTAAGCATGACAAATGGTGAGGAATACTTGGGAATTAAAATTTTAGTAATATAAGTGAGTGCCACAGGCTGTCTACTCCTGGATTAGAATATGGATGCATAAACTAAGACCACACATCAGTATTTGCAACCCATTGAGCAAGACATACTGGCCTGATTTACTTATTATTCTTAATCAAATTCAGGAGTGTGTGAACCAAACCAGTAGGACAGCTTTCCATATTCTTAATTACACTAAAATCAACTATTTTCTCACACTTGAAGCTATTCTACTATGTTGGAAATATCAAACTCCCCAGCTATTAAGACCACTGAAGTTGGAAATTATAAATGCTACCGTTTCTGGAAAGCACCAACATGGGGAAGTGAGTTCTAAAATAGTGGCATGCAATTGTCCTTAATCCGTGCTTTTGATGCAGTCTCCCTCCAGCATTTTTTACATTCTTTTAGAAGTTGTAGAATTTCACCTCTTCAAAATAAAGTTGCCCTTTGAGAAAATATGCCAGTGGCTCTCCATCTTTGATTCGTTTTTCCAGAAGTTGTTCAGCCTTTGCAAACAGAAAATTATGATCGGAAGCACCTATTTAAAAACAGACACAGCTGTGGTTGTTTATGAAATAATCAGCATATAAAATCGATGCGGGGAAGCTTTTTGGATCAAAAGTTTCATTTTTTCTTAATGGCCATTTGTTGAAGCTGCATGTTAGTGATATACAGGATGGAAATTAAACTCATTTATGATAAGGAATGAATGAACAGAAGAAGTAGCATAAAGAAAATATAAGGAGCTGGATCCAGAGGCCTGGTAACTTGATTAAGCTAGGAAGTAGACAGAGCTGTATTATAGGTATAAAACCATGTTAAAAACTCAGTTCTCATCTCTTGATATTTTTCCTTCAACTCTGTGTTTTTTTTAAGATCCTGTAGGCAAAGAAAATGGCCCCAATCCAAAAATCATTGAATTGAATTGAATAAGTTTATTTATAGGCCGCCCTTTTCCCTGAGGGGACTCAGGGCGGCTAACAACTTATAGGGAGGGGATACAAATTGAGCACAACATGTAACTGCAAATGGTTACTTAGTTTTGAAAATACTGTTCATGCTGTGGAAGAAAAGGGGCACATTTCCCCTCTCCTTACTCTGCAACTCAATGCTGACTGCACTGCCTGTCAGGAAATGAAACATGAAAATGCAGTCCATCGTTCATTGTGCTATGTGGATACCATATTTGTAGGTGGAATACTTCAAGAGGAATCTTACACAAAAAGCTTGGATTTTGGCTGTACTGATGTGCCTAAACTTCAACATTATTTTAATGTAAACTTGACACTGAAATGAAAAAAAAAAGGAAAAAAACCTCTAAATGAAATGCAAGCAGGAGTCATTGATCACATCAACAGTTCTTACTTGCATGTCAAAATACAAAAAATAGAAATAGAACAACACTCCATCAAATATGTTCCCACTCACATAACTGTCCCTCCATTTGTCCAAGGAAAATGTTACATAATAAACCGCAATACCATAAGGGGAAAGTGAAGTATATAGGTAGTCCTTGATTTACAACCACAATTGAGTCCAAATGTTCTCTTGTTAAGTGAGACATTTGTTAAGTGAATTTCGCCCAATTTTACGGCCTTTCTTAGCTCAATTGTTAAGTGAATCACTGCATTTGATAAGTTAGTAACCTGGTTAAGTGAATCTGGCTTTCCCATTGACTTTTATTTATTTATTTATTTATTTATTTATTTATTT